AAATATTTCATGCCGCTACAAAAATTACATCGCTAATGGCTACGCATGATGTACTTTTTTTTTCGAAAAATCAAGGAAAAGTAATTAAAAAAATTCAAGTCACATCACTAAGGTTAACTGGTGGTAGATGCAAAAATAAAGTAAATTATTCTCCCATTTTTCAGCGTGTTACATGATTCTTTATGAGCGTGTATCTTTTTGGGTTGATATCAATATTATTGTATGATTTTGGTTGCGATCTCATTTATGCACATGACCATGTTGGTACATGAGGTAAATTTTATATACGGTATAAGTTCAACTTGGGAGGCTATTTGCTGGAGCAAATTGAATACTGCCATTCTCGTTGAAATTCCTGGCTAGCCAGACGAGGAAGGTCATGTATGAAGCCATACTAGCTCTGAAAAGCATGGCCTTCTTTTATTATTTTTTCCCTGGCATCATCCCCTTCCAGCGAAGGGCATGGAATTTTCACAAATACATTATTAATTTCCTGCATGGTTCCCCTGTCGGCCATGTCAGATCCCGGTTTCTTGAAGCTTCATTATTTCAGCCCAGTGGTTTGATTGATTCATGCTGCCTGCATTTTATAACAACCTTGAGATAATGTGAAACAGAAGCATGAAAAGCCTTCATCTCCCGGGGGAAGAAAACGACCGTCCGGGGGGGGGGGGCGAAAAATGTTTATGCGAAAAGAAAATATTTTCTTGTATAGTAAATTAATTTGCATTTTTATTTTTTGAATCATGGTATTACAAAATTGAATTAATGATAAAAATGATGTTTGTGAAAATAATAATTATTACGATGATGATTTTATAATAATGGTGATAATTATATTGTAGAAATCGTGATTATAAAATTATTAATATAACAATAATAATGATAATGATGATAAAAATTATTGTCGATAATATTTTAACAACTATATAGTGATACTAGTAATTGTAATTAATAATAATAATTGTTATAGTAATTTTAATATTAAAATAATAATAAAAATAGTAATGAAGTGATGATGGTTACACTAATAATTTAAAAATGATTAAGATGATGAATGAGATAGCTACTTTAATAATGATATTAGAGAATTATGGTGAGATGATAATAAAACAAAAATTATATAATAATAAGATGGTGATGATAGTGCTGGCTATGATTGTTGAAGTGGTTGATTTATATTATGAATTAATAGTATAAAAATATTAACTCTGTTCAAGAGTTAATTGAAAAAAAATACTTATCATTGCTCATTAGTTAAAAATATTAACTCTATTAAAGAGTTAATTGAAAAATGTTTTTTTTATTTAATTTCCAATATATGTTTTACATTGAAACAGGAAAAATGTTTTCCTGTAAGAGAGAACAGGCCGTTAGACCAAGATTGTTTGTTATAAAGGATTAGAAGAAGTTGGTTGACTAATTATCTTCAAAGACAGAAAAACAAAGCGTGCATTGATTTGCTATTGAATTAATCGTTTTGGTCTCAGCACGAGATTTTTAAGTGTTGTATTCGGAAAGCAACGTGCTGTAGAATGCAAAAAACTGAGGCAACAGATTGTTGTCAACCTTATTGTGCTCGAAGGGTGTCGCTGTCCGAGTCTTGACACTGGTTGTACGGCTATTGGGTGGTGAGTGAGGAACGAGTCCATAGTTTTCATGCGAGTAGCACGTGAGACAAGAGGATGTAAATTTTGGGGAAAAAGTTTGTTTTATCGTACCCTTAATGGGACAATTCAATTCGGACACTCTTTGCCATTTTTTAAGTAAAAGTCTATAATAACCTTTCCGTCCGAATTGAAAGTTCTTAGGAGGATAGAGATGTACAGCATGATTCTTAATTACGTTTCACAGCAATCAATCCCATTTTTGCTTTTCACGTGGTGTCATAAGTTTTCCTTTTTCTTTTTATTTCAGTTATGCCGTGGTAAAAAAAATGAGCCAGTGTGAAGAAAATAAAAATATTTCTTAGGCACTTTTTATCTTAATTATTAGACTTGGTTTAGTCCGGCTAGTTAACCTCAGTGGCTTGACAACCCAGGATTTGGTTGGGACAAGTAAGTAATATTTTAATCTAAACGTCATCATTTTTCTTTTAAAGAAAACCCTATGTTAACTAGGCTAGATCTTCTCCACCTCTAACATGGATTTTGGGTTGAGTTAATCTCTAAGTTAGGTATTATTATTGTTCGACAACTTAGTTTATTTTTTTATGTAATTTTATTTAATATTAGATGTGGTTGTGTGTTTTATTTTTTTCTATTAAATTATTTATCGGTCTTATAAATTTAGTTTTTATTTATCAATTTCAATTTTAAATATTAGATATGTTGTAAGTGGGGCTTTGTAATTTTTTTATGAATTAATCCTAGTCTCGTGACCATAATTATAGGTTAATTTAGCTATATAAATGTGTTTGGCAGGTTAACTTAATTAGCTTAAGTTTTTATGTTCTATTTTTTTTATTAGATTTTTTTCTGACTTCATCCAATAATATTTGGTTGATTAAGCTTTTAACTTGTTTTAGTTTGCTTCATATGAAGTCATTCCGGTCTTATAATTCAAGCTGTGGATTTGATAGGTTAATCCAGTTGACTTGAGTTGTTTTTGTGTTTTTCTTAAATCTTTTTCAATTTCATGCTTTAATATTTAATTTTTTTAGAATTTTGCTTTGTTATTTTTTAAGATTT